CATCCCAGTTGATCAATGCTCATGATCAGATCACTGGATTGTCTGGTCGAGACTCAACCAATTACAAACCACCGAACTGCAGCTGGAATATTGCTCAGTGCAGCGTGAAACAACTAACAAAACACACAAAAACTACCGCTACTGCTAGAATTTCCAGCTGCCTTTGAAGGTGATAGGTATTGTTAGTTCAAGTTTGTGTGTTGGCCTCCAACTGGGATCCTGAAGTGATTGATCAGCACTCTTGGCCTGTACCTCTTGTCAGCACTCGGGCTGTATAACAGATTCTGGGTGTTCCACTTATCTGTTCTGTCAGTGCCGAAAGTGTTCAAATGTCAGAACTCAGTGTTTGGTGCTGTCAGTATGTGCAACTTGGTCTTGAACCTTCTTCAGCCAGAGGGAGTTTTGTTTAATTTTGCTTTCAAAATTTCAGAATTCTATGTCATGTCAGATTGGTGTTCAAGATAACCCCAGAGTGAGGGAGTTTTGTTTAATTTTGCTTTGAAAAATGTTTCAGAACCTTATGTCATGTCAGATTTAGTATTGAAGATAACCCCAGACTGATGAAAGTCAGAGATGTTTCCATCTGTGGTGAAACTAAGGGGTGTGGTAATGACGACCCTATAAACATAATTAAACTGAGATTTACAACCATGAACATGAGTTTGTCACATGCCCAAAGGGCTATACCCATGTGAGCATCACCAATCATGGCATATGAATAATGGAAGTGATTTCACGGCATTGTTCAATGTTGTGATGGTATTCCTGTTGTAACACTGAGCACTGCTGATTAGACTCAGAGACTAGGTTTGCCATTTTTGCTTGATCACATACAGATATTAATTGTACCATTATTATCAGACTAGTAGGCCACTAGCCTTGGACCAGTAGGAAGATGGCTATTTGTCCGAAGATCTGGTATTGAAACATCACCACAAATCTTAAATGAGCTGTGGACAATGGCGTCATGAGGGCTCCATCGTCATGGACTCATGGCCCCCTTATTCAATTGGTTGATGATTACAGTTAGGAATAGTGAAGTGTTAACTCAAGTGTTCAGTTGGAGTTGTCTCTCCAAATGTATCAGTATAGTATTATTCAGTATGAACCATACTATTTGCCCATTAGCCCAGCTCCTAGTCTGTCTCACAGTCCCTCAACCATACTATTTGCCCATTAGTCCAGCTCCTAGTCTGTCTCACAGTCCCTCAACCATACCATTTGCCCATTAGCCCAGCTCCTAGTCTGTCTCACAGTCCCTCAACCATACTATTTGCCCATTAGCCCAGCTCCTAGTCTGTCTCACAGTCCCTCAACCATACTATTTGCCCATTAGCCCAGCTCCTAGTCTGTCTCACAGTCCCTCAACCATACTATTTGCCCATTAGCCCAGCTCCTAGTCTGTCTCACAGTCCCTCAACCATACTATTTGCCCATTAGCCCAGCTCCTAGTCTGTCTCCATACAGTCCCTCAACCATACCATTAGCCCAGCTCCTAGTCTGTCTCACAGTCCCTCAACCATACTATTTGCCCATTAGCCCAGCTCCTAGTCTGTCTCACAGTCCCTCAACCATACTATTTGCCCATTAGCCCAGCTCCTAGTCTGTCTCACAGTCCCTCAACCATGCTATTTGCCCATTAGCTCAGCTCCTTCTGTAATGATGGAACTTTAATTTAGCAAGTCTACATTTTCCACACTCTCTGAAAGTCACACATCATTGGGTCTCAGGTTGAATGTAGTTGCATGTTTGAATCTTAATTATATCTTTGGAAAGACTAAGCACTTGTCCGGTGTCAGGGCCCCGTTTCACAAAGCCATTGAAGCACCATGATAGCGTTCTGAAATATCAGGGCCCAGGAGTGTAATGCATTTTTTCATATCTTAACATTTGGATGATGTATTGTCATAGGCCATGGATTTATACATTTTTTTTCCTTTGAATTGAATAGCTGCAAGATTGCTGATGCAGCATTAAGCAGTAGTGCTGCCTATGAGTGCATTGATCTTCTGAGACTAGGGCATGTGAGTTTGATGCAGGAACTCCCTGAACCTTCAGGATGAGCTGCTTCACATGTGTTAGGGCTCCTGTAGGTAGGGATATATAGGTATGTATTTTGTATATGCAGGCTATTTTCCGCCACTGTTTATCCATGGCACTGGGTCTGGCTGGGGTGTTTATTGAAGTGGAATTCAGTGACCAGCCTGGCTATGTGAACTGCAAATAGGAAACAAAAGTTTATTTTCTTTACTGGAGAGTTCCAGATGGAGGAAATGTGTGATTGACCTGTGCTCCATGGAAACTCATGTGTTTGGATCATCGGATCGTTTTATATCCTCGCTGTAACGACAATACATGTCATGTTTAGATGTTATCATGAATTTATTATGCCTAATTTGACAAGCATGGAGACCTGTTGAGATATATTTGGCTCCAAGTTAGATACACATCATTTCTCTTGAGACCAGCCAGGCTCTGTTGTTATGTAAAGGTCGACCTACGTCAGGTCAAACATTTCTACCTGGTGCTGTAACTAGAGATGGAGCCCTTCATCCTGAGACTACCAGGTACATCCACAAAACACAGAAATAGTCTTCAAGTCATTACAGTGTTTGGCACTTAGAAGTAGGGCACCTGTCAGCTGTAAATATGTGTCTTAGTTCTGGTTGTTTTTTCGTGTTCTTTTCTTGTTCTTGTTTCATGCCATGCTCAGCAATGTTTCATTTATGGTGAGGAACCTTAACTATCTGAGTTTCTACAAGAACCCTCTAGTGATTGATTTTCTTAGCAGTGATTCACATTGTCTGGTTGAGGGGGCAACGAGATAGCCAAGTGGTTAATGTATTCGCTAATCACGCCAAAGACCCGGGTTCAATTCCCCACATGGGTACAATGTGTGAAGTCCATTTTTGGTGTCCAGCGAGTTAATATTGCTTGAACATTGCTAAAAGTGGCATAAAACTAAACTCACTCACTCTGATTGAGGCTTCATAATTAGCAGGCTTTCCTATAGGCGGCTTAGTGTTGTATTGAATAAAAACAAAACACTGGATACTGCGATGTACAACATAATGCAATATTCATTTATTCACCATTCAGCTACTGCAAGAATCTGTGTTATAAGATTATATACACCAGTAAAGGTGCACCTCTTTGAAACGAACTCCCAGTGATTGATTTTCTTAGCAATAATTCACATTGTCTGGGTACAGCGACATACAGGAACTGAGTCTTGCCATCTGATTTATTCTCTGACAACCAGCTAAACTATAGGCTGCTGGGGACATATGGGGGTTTCTCAATTTCAGAAATGCTGGACATTGTCTCGTAAGTGTTCATTTTGATGGATAATTGTGGAATGAACCACTGGAAGTTGACCCTTCAGGAATTCCTATGCTAGTCATAGGAGGTGACCATCTTCATCGGGTGGTCCGTCTCAGTCATCGGGTGGTCCGTCTCAGTCATCGGGTGGTCCGTCTCAGTCATCAGGTGGTCCGTCTCAGTCATCAGGTGGTCCGTCTCAGTCATCGGGTGGTCCGTCTCAGTCATCGGGTGGTCCGTCTCAGTCATCAGGTGGTCAGTCATCAGGTGGTCCGTCTCAGTCATCAGGTGGTCCGTGGTCATCCGTCAGTCATCAGGTCATCAGGTCATCCGTCTCAGTCATCGGGTGGTCCGTCTCAGTCATCAGGTGGTCCGTCTCAGTCATCGGGTGGTCCGTCTCAGTCATCAGGTGGTCCGTCTCAGTCATCAGGTGGTCCGTCTCAGTCATCAGGTGGTCCGTCTCAGTCATCAGGTGGTCCGACTTAGTGTCATTGTAACCCAGCAGTGTGGACCTTTGTTGATAACATCAATCACTTGATTGTCTGATCCAGACTTCATAATTAACAGGCTGTCCTATAGGTAGTTTAGTGCAGAGTGAAATAATAAATTGAACACATGATATAGAGATATACTGGACAAACTCAGTTAGGGATATTGGTATTTTTATGATTGATATTTTACCAGTGTGTCAATAAATAAATAGATCATTATTCATAATTTCAAAAGTTACATATATCCCTAATTATTTTTGTCCAGTATATATACAAACTGCAATTTTCAATTATTCACTGTTCAGCTACTGAAAGAATCTGTGGGAACATGTGCTATAGGATTATATACACTGGTAAAGGTGCACCTCTTTGAAAAGAATATTCTTGTATTCTTTACACACCCGTGCTCAAAATACTCTTTTAACTGTATACATACAGGTAAAGGCATCTGTTAGAATCAGATGTCATGTTAACTTCATTTATTATCCTAGCTCTGTCAAAAATGTTTTTATGTGATATCTTTTTCACTTTCCGCGGCACAGTGCCAGGGGTTTGTGTCTTACATTATTTATATGTCTGGGGTTGTCTCTGGGTGTTTCTACCATCCCATGTCAGTGTGTGCTGAAGGTATTTACGATAGCAACACAGGAAGCGATTATCTTGACTGTGAAACTCATACAATATACATCCCTGCCAAGAGGGATGCCAGTCAGGTGGTCATGACATTATACAATGTACCGGGCTGTTTCAGAATAATCTACAATGTTAAACATAGCCATTGTGATGTGTTATTGTCAGGAAGTGATTGCATATGTCAGGTGATCAACTATATGGTTTATTTCAATTGTAGGAAGTTTGGCTTTTGTTTGTCATTTTTGTTTCTTTAACGTCTGCTACTGGGAACTTCCGTTTGATGTTTCTATAATTTCCATAAAACCAAACATATTATATCGTTATATATTGTTAGTATGTGGTTTATGGTTCTGTAGAACTTCACACCTGTTGGCAAATACTGATGCATTGTTGTGTTCCTTTAAGCAGGACATGATGCACTGGTTTTGTAATGGGTTAAGTTTCAGTGTAGAAATACTAATATTATTGTAAGATGAAATATATGTAAATGTCAGTAATAATGTAGGTGCAATGTTTTCTGACTTGATCAGTTGTTTGATGTTCTGTGTGTTTCAGAATGTGAAGTGTGTTTGAGCCGTGTTCGGCGTTGAAATGATGACCAGTAATGCGGACAATGACTACAAGGCGCTTGAGAACTACATCCTCAAAATACAGGTGAGTTAGTGAGTGAGTTGGGTTTACACAGATTTTACCGATATTCCAGTGATATCACAATGGGGAACACCAAAAATGGGCCCCCTGCATTGTCTCTCATGTGGGGAATCGAATTCAGGCTTTCGGCATGACCAGCGAATATCTTGCCTCTGCCACCTCCCCATATACAGGTAGGCCATTACCTAATGTGTGATGTACACAGCATGAAACCCTGTGAGGAGTCTCAGTTAGAGGTGACCATATGGATTGGGTGGTCAGGCTTGACAACCTTGATGGTATAGATTGTTGTTCGTTATTGTCAAGGGATTCCCTGGTCCAGACTAAATTGTGCACTAGCCATCTTATAGATGGTATTGTTGTGTGCTACTAGCCGTTTACTGAGGTTAAACAACATACAATATGAGCATGCTAAGTGAAATCTTTCTGAAATGGACTTTGTGATCCGGTTTAGACAGAAGACACCTCAAGAGTAAACTCTTTTCTCACTTTTTCTGAACATTTGATTGAAAAGCTTAAAATAACAGAAAGTATCAAGTTTTAAGTAGGAAGTTGTAGTTTTTTGTTTTGAAGTAACGAAGGCAATGACATCCCACCTGGTATATCATGCGTTACACTGTGGCAGACAAGCAGAGATGTGCAGCAGCCAATCAGATCACTGCCTGCTGGTAATTCTAGTTATCACTCGTGATATCTTGACAAATATAGGAATCGGTTTTCTCACTAAGGTAGATGAAAGATAAGGTTGGTGTTAAAACCGAAACTCCAAATGAGAACCGTGTGTTGACACTTCAACATTTCCTTTCACACAAAAAACACATACAAAACCATGGGAAGGAAACATTGGAACAGGAATCTCCGGAGGGTGTTGTTGTGCTTTGTGTTTGTCAGTGAAAGATATAAGTAAAACAAGAAAATTTTACAGTTGATAAATACCCACGGAGGGTATTTTGAATTACAGGTCCTGTAATGATTATATCAGGTAGACTAACCACTAAATCTGAAATAAACATATTTTACAGAAAAAAGGTCATGATAAACAAAACAAAATTAATGAAATGGAGCCCTAACACTTTCTTCATTTTCAGAAACTGTGGAAATCTAGATTTGCCACATTCTCTAGACCTGCATTGGCTTTCTTGGATATATATGTTTCAGGGCCTGTATGACAGTGTAATTATCAGGTTTATAACAGAGTGTTAAAATCAATTAGGAACATTTGTCTGATTTTAGTTTGAATGGCTGCCAAAGTGACAATAAAGCGTTCTTAATTGCAATACAAGCTAATTAAGTATGAAAGCTGTGCATGAATGTGATATTTTAAAACGTGGTGTAATATGTTTCACTCTTTTCATTTTGATTTACTCATATTTGTCAAAGCTGAGACTTAGGTTATACCATAATGGGAACTGACAATGAAATGTCTCTGATATGTCTCGCACTACACATGGAAAAGTATCTAAAATTTCATTTTTAAGAAAATAAACTGATCTTATGTGTTATTCAAGTTAACACCATTAGTTCTCTATCATCTAGACTTGCTGGTGCATTCCAGACAGAAGAGCATGTTATAATGAGAGTGAATGAGTTAAGTTTTATGCCGCACTCAGCAATATTCCAGCTATATGGCGGCAAGAGCATGTTATAAAAAGAGAATGTCATTATAAAAGGTGAAAGGTAAACGGTAAAATAATGATACAGATATGATATACAAATTGAGCAAAAATTTGTTATGTTGTACAAAAAATTGTGTTAATTTTAAATTCTGGATAACTATTGGTAACTATGGATTAAGAATTGTTCCTTTTTATATGGTATTGTAAATTCTTGATTGTGATTGATGATTATTTCATCAGTGCCTGAGGAAAGGCAGGTGTGAAGGTCAGTAATTGCAGGTAACATACATTGAACACTGATTGTATACACCAACCCATCAAGTGCATCCTTCATTAAAGTTCCAGTCAAGAACCACATAACATTCAATTAACAACCAAACATGCCCCCTAGGGTATGCAGCCTCTTGTCATTATGGTGGCTGATGTTATAGGTTGGATGATAGGGTATAATGAAGACCACATGGCCATTCTGACTGTTCCCCTGGTCCTCCATCAGTGGGTCTGATGAATTCTCGTCTCATTGTACCATCTTAAACCTCTGATCAACCAGATCCCTTTACCTATATCAGATGGATACTTTTCTCATGAGTATTTGCTCATTGATGGAATTGAAAGCAGTAAGTTCTATTAATTACTCGTTTTCTGTGATTTGTGTTGGACATGTTTGCATCAGTAAACTACATCCCCTCCTTGCTAAGATACACCCACCTTAGCCAAGGGGAATAATGCGAACTCTCTCAATCTGACAGAAAATGTTTTCCCTGATCTACTCATCATTTCAAAGGGATAAACAGATGACATTCTAGTTAAATATATACTTAGCATACTATCATCATTTTTGTATTGATCCCTAACAAAAGTGGAGTGGTATATTTATTGATGACTTTGTTAAGATTTTAACTACTAAAGCATTACTGTGAGTCCTAAAATATCACCACTGGTTCAAGAAAATGTTAATATGAGGCAATCTGGATCTGAGAAAAGAAATAATTAGAGCATCTTTGTCTTGCTGATTAAACATAGATCACTGTGATGACATGTGGGGTTGTTGGGTAGCCAGGTGGTTAAAGTGTTTGCTTTTATGTCTACATACTAGTGTTTGATTCCCAGTGATGGCACAGAGCATGGAATTAATTCCCTCTTACGAGGATCCCAATCCACAAAGTGTTAATGTTACAACCTATCGTAACTCTATACTTTATCATTGGCTTACGAATGGCATAGTGCTACAAACGTTTCTGTGGATCGGGCCCCAGAAAGGCAATGTTGGGAGAACGTAATGAAGAACGTCAACCAAAACTCCCTCACTATTTACCACTGTCTGTGATTTTGATATGAGGTACTGCCCATATATCAGGGAATCTCTGTCTATATATAGTTTCCCTTGTCGTAACTAAAAACATTTAGAGATGGAACTTCTTGTTTCCCTTTCAGACACTCGGCGTTAAGGGTATAAGACAAGGCCATGCTGGAGCAAATGTCTGAACATCGTATCCATGTTAAACTGAAACATGGTATCTCAGTAGGCCGTACTGGCATTAGTCCGAACTTCGTACAAGCGTGTGCATGCATGCATGTGTCTCTGTATAAGTGCATTAAACATTTCAGATTATTTTCAGACATTGTTGACCAGGATAAGTGAGATACTGCCACTTAAAAAAACTCCACCATGACATGTCATAGAGATTTTTTACAAAGATGTCCTTTGTATTTTCAGGGAGAAATATGTGATGCTATATCAAATGTTACCGATGACTTGAAACGTGAAATTGCCGAGGATGTACTTGTGGGGAAGGTGACCAATCAGAAGCCTGGTAACAAAAGTGAGGAATCTAACAACAACTCCCAATGGATAAATTCAAATCATTCAAGTGGCGGAGAAAAGGATAGTTGTGTAGTGGAGGAGGGTAGCAGTCGCCAGTCGCGAGAGTTGAGTCGCCAGTCCAGCAAGGAAGGATATCGGTACTGTTGTATCGACAGAGACTGCTGTGATGAGGAGCAGGATGCAGAGCTGCAGTATGGGGACAAAAAGGTAACCTCATCCTCTGGTATCCAGGGTGTTTTATCTCTATTTGCTACAATAGCTTTGTTCAGGAAGTGAAGTCACAATCTTTATGTCAATGTCGTAGAACTGAACGTTTGTCATTGTATGCAGCTCATACAGCTCATACAGTTTAATGCTCTCACTATCGACCACTGAAATGGTCAACTTAGGATGTCATTGTAAGCAGTCCATACAGCTCTCACTATTCATTTCTCTCTACACGAACACCAATCTGAAGTCGAGTTAGCACTATCAACCACTGAAGTGATCATACACATCTCACATTTCCCCAATTTATGCCTCTGGAAGATGATGTCAACCACTTTATAACTGAGTTCCAAGATCCAAGATGAGCAAAGATTGAACAAGTGACTCTTATTTATCTTGACAATTTTCTTTTCCGTTCATGTTATGTACTCAATGATGTCCTTATTAATGATATCTTATCTGAATTATTAGACATGCATTCTGTTTGAGTGCTCTTGATATCACCCCTTGAATCTCCAATGCACCCAGCAGGTATTCCATGTTCAAGTATGACTGCACTGACTGAATGTCAGCACAATGAAACACTAGAAGTCTTATTGATAACTGGGGAAGAACCTCTTCACATGAACGTTTTCATATTTTGGAGAGGAATATAAGTTGTCATTAATATGATACACTTCAGCATATGAAGTGGTAACCTGCATGACACATGCAACATATCTTTTATCCAAAAACATTTAGAGACGAATTTTCAAACATAAAATCCAGATATCGGTAGTTACATGACTGCACTTTGTGACCTAAGACGCACATGTAAGACATCACTCGTCACCATAACATATACGTACAGAGGTATCTTCAGTTTCACAGGTTCTCAATGTGAAACATATGTCCCTTCATGTTGCTTCACAGTTCCCTGTGAATCATTTCCTGGTGTAAGTCTCCCCTCAACCACACCTGGGTGTACAAGATGGAGGTTATATAAGTACATATGTGCAGCCCCTCTTGGCTTCAGAGTTAAACTCTTCAGATACGTTGTCTAGGGCCAGTAAACAACCACTCCTGTTCGCCTCTTGTTTAGAGTTAGTGAGTGAATATTGCTGTATACAACAGTAAGCAATATTCCAGCTGTAAATCTTCCAGACACAAGATTAAATTAAAAAATGAAACTCAAGTCTAGTGCATTTAATATGATTCAGCAAGGTTGCCTCAGGAATTAAAATTGTCCAGGGCCTAGATTTTTGAAGCTCTCTTAGCACTAAGATAGTCAGGAATTAACATTAACTTTGTCCTAAGGGCTGAAAATCTAAGCCCTGGGCTCCAGTTGGGTCTTACATTTTTTTGTGTGGACATATATCTATGAATACAACATCCTTTGTCGAGAACTACGTATTAGCCTGCTTGTAAGTAATTAAGTCTGGACAAGCAGACCAGTGGTCAAAGGTGTGAGCAACAATCGACAGGACTAGGGTGCGATAATAGACATATCACAGTCAGACAACCCAAAGTCCCATAATGTCATCTTTTGTAACAAACAGGCACCTACGGCCATTTTGAACAACATTCCACATATAGGCCCTTGTTTAGAACTGTAGTACAAAGCTTGCATGTCAGTGTATATCTGACTTCATACTCTGGAGAGAGGAAGATTGGTGGTTGAATCCCATCGCCATATCCCACTAAGTCACATTGGAGGATGAATTTAGCTTTTAGAATTTAACTCTTTGGGGTATTTTAGCCATATACCTAAAAAGTATCTATCCTTAAAAATATACCACATTTTCTACATGTTAGTTAGTTAGATATTTAGAAAATTGCTACAAATATTCACATTTATGTTTCCCCTCAGTTTTAATTAACAATTTGTGTGATGCTTCATACAGTGATAGCTTGACAGAAAATACATCATCGATAAGCTCCCCTGATACAACAACATTATATATTCCTCAATGGTTAAAGTCCACTTGATTTGTTCACATTACTCATGTTTGGTCATGCTACAGCAAATGATAACTACTCTTGAGCAGTATATAATTTTGGAGATGAAGTCAGCTAAACTCTGATACCTTGCTGGAATTGGAGTTTTTTTTGTTTTGTTTTTATTTGTTGCATAGATCTGTAAACAGTGGTAGCAGCACTGTAATGCATTATTTAGTCCAGTTGTTGGTGTGGTCACTTGCAACATAAAGGTCTCGGTTCAGTTCCCACGTGAATCCCACTTTTTGTATCTGCTACGTTGTCTACATCAGTGATGGCTGTGTAATAATTCACTGAGATTCATGCTTGCTGTTTAGAAAGAATGGATTATGAGTCTGAAAATGTGCTAGATTAAGGTGATATATGAGCAGTAAGGACATTGATTATAAACATGATTGAAATATGTTACACTAATGTAAATCATTGCTTTCCAACCATCCAGGAACGTTTCTACAGGCAGACTAGTTACCATGGAAACTAATGCATATCATGTGGTTCCAGGTAGTTTTGAAAGCAAGATTCTTTTTCAAAAGACAAAATATGACTGGTCGGAAATAGCATCTTATTTAGCTACAACTGTTGGCAATTATTTATCAAAGTAATATTCTTTTCCAAAGAAGAAGATGATACTGGCCTGTTATGGCATGGTCTTCAGCTAATGAGGTCTGACAATTTATTTGGAAAGTTTTGCAAAAGACAAATGATGATTGGCCACAAATAGCATCTTATTCAACAAATAACAACTTTATGTTACAAGAATTTGTTGTGAGTACATGGATACCAATTCATCATCATTATATTTTTAGTCAAAAAGTGGACTATCAATATTTCATCTGGTCTAATGGTCTCAGAGGAAGTGGTATCCAGGAGGTGTGATATATCATGATGTACACCATCTTGATAACAGATATATGAGTTACTTCAAGTTCCAACAGGCCACTTGCTATACAGTCCAACAGGTTGTCTCATTACCTTTAACAGAGATCCAACCTGTCTGATCTGGTGGAGTTCCAGTCAGTATAGCACTAAATGATTTGGAAATGTCAAAATAGTGAACATGAAAATTACAAATAATTCCTTACATATGCATTACATCATCTGAATGAGCAGTGGCAGTATAAGTCATCACATGTTTGTCTACATATTCTTTTTTTAATATGATAAAAAGAACATCCATCAGTGGTTTCCTTAGAAACCAGCTGATGAGGTTGTTCTGATTTGGCAGCCATGTTTTAAAGCCATTTTGTTTTCTGACTTCTAAATATTTAAAAAACAGTCATCCAAGATGCCTATTTACAGTGATTTTAGTGAAGATATTCATACTCAAGATGATATTATCATGATATCTTTGCACAACCTGCCATACCTGTAAAGATCTGGTCTTCAGCAACACATGCTTCTTGTAAAGGGCAACTAACGGGATCAGGTGTTCAGGCTTGCTTACTTGGTTGACACATGTCATCGTATCCCAATTGCGTAGATCAATGCTATTGCTGTTGATCACTGGATTGTCTGGTCCAGAATCGATTATTTACAGACCGCCACCATATAACTGGAATATTGCTGAGTGCAATGTTAAACAAACAAACAAACAAACACAACCTGCTGTATGTCACAAAATCATTATTGTAATGACAAATTAGTTGGTAGGAGTCAGCACTGGTGATATTGTCTCCATCTCCCTCATTGTGTCAAATTGGTGCTGGTCAGCTACTAATGCTTTAGGTTTCACAGTTTGTTTCTAACTAAATATGCTACTCAAAAGAACTTAAGGAACACATATTTTTTCATAAGAGCAGACCAATTTTATTTCTTGTTTTACGGATCCACCGGTCGTATTTCTTTGAAGGATCAAAAAAAAAAAAAAAGTTAATATTCCCCGCTCAAAAAATAAAATCCCAATGTTTTATTGGTAAAAAATGTAAATTTACAAGAATTGTTTTTTAGATTGTGTTTTGCCCCATATACACTTCATTAATTGACAAAAGTAGAATACTTTTAGGATTTATTATTTTTATTTATTTTTTTCTCCTGCCTTTAGGTTTTCTGAGTACAAACATCTGTAAAACAAGAAATAAAATTGGTCTGGCCTAAGGCTGTAGTTCAACTGCCATGACAGTCTACCCACCAACAAGTGGGCCCTGATACCCAAACTTGTTCCACCCTAGTTTCTTGTGTCGACATGGTAAACTGGTCCACTGCCTGTCCAAGTGCAGCTCTCCAAAATGTGGCCGGGCCAGACCATGTCACCATGTCGCGTCCAGCTCATGTCAATTCCTTTGATCTCAATGACAGGAACAAGACCCCATTATTGTCTGTCTAGCTGACACAGAGGTGCTGAGATTGGGGTAAACACCCTGGTCAGTCTCGGTCAGATTGACCCACTCAGGAAGCAGGTGCCCTTCCAGTTATACATATAGAGACCTAATGTACTGGGGTCTATCATAAATGACCTGGTACCGACTCTTTACATAGTGTCACCATGTTGATTGTAGCCTGCTCCATTAGCCAGTAATGTAGGGATTCTTTCACCTTGTCAAGGAAGTAATTAAAGAGGTGTTATCATAAGACCTACTTTTGATGCTGGGAACTATTTTTGTAACAAATTATGGTAATGTCAGTCAATAATGTGTTGTAAGGGTATGTGGGAAAGTCAACATGTAAACAGTGCTGGACAGTGTTGGTTCTTGACCAGTGAGGTAGGTGGCAACACTCTCATGTAGACATCCATAATAGCTGTGCTTGAGGCTTTTCACAGATACACAATGTTTCATCCTGTACGCATAGATAATGTGAATGACTGCAAACGATTTCAGCTGCAAGTCCTACGGAACTGTTTGAGTCATAAGACTTGTTACAGTTGTAGATTGTCACAGAAAACTGACATTTCTTTTCTGATCAGGAACACAAGGTGCAGTGTGTCAGTAGGTGACTTTCTTCAACCTTGCATTAGAATAGCCATCAATATCATCCTGAACATTTGTGAGCATTTGACTTCCAGTGAAGCATGCCACAGGTCACAA